AGAGATTTTGGAGCCTAAAGTTCCTTATCTAAGTACAATAAGCGCTTTATTGTACTTAGCTCAATGCATTAGACCCGACATCTCCTTCGCTGTTAATCTTTTGGCAAGATACAGTAATGCACCAACACGTAACACTGGACTGGTGTTAAAGACATTTTTTGCTACCTTAAAGGTACTACAGATATGGGTTCGTTCTATCCCTATGGATCCTCGAGTGATGCCGCACCCTCTTTAACTTGAATCAATTCTCACCTTATTGGTTATGCTGATGCATGATACTTATCCAATCTGCATAAGGCATGCTCTCAAACGAGTTACGTCTTTACCGTTGGAGGCACTGCAATTTCTTGGAGGTCAACTAAACAGACCTTAGTTGCCACTTCATCTAACCATACCAAAATTCTCGCTTTACACGAAGCAACTCGAGAGTGCTTATGGTTGAGAGCAATTATGAGCCATATTCGAAGCTTCTGCGATCTTTACCCTATCGTTGATGTCTTGACAACGATCTATGAAGACGACGCAACATGCATCAAATAGCTCAAGAAGGGTTACATCAAAAAAGACAACACCAAGCACATTTCAACGAAGTTCTTCTTCGCACATCAACAACAAGAGCATTAGAAGATTGAAGTCATGCAAATCCACTCACAAGACAATCTGCTCGACCTCTTCACCAAATCACTACTGAATGAGATGTTTCAGAAGCTTGTTTAAGGAATTAGTATACGTAAACTTTTTCAGTTGTAACATTGCTAGTTCTCTTTCGACTTATGTCAAACTCAGGGGGAGTATCCTGAAGTATGTTTGCTTGATCATAATGTACTCTTTTTCCCTAAGATTAAGAGTATTTTTCCCACTGGATTTTTGCTACCTAACGAGGTTTTGATGAGGCACCCACCTTGGGTTGATCATATCCCTGATGATGTCCCGTAGACGTTTAATTTGACTTTGCATTTCTCACACATTTTTCCTTAGACAACGGATTTTGTCCCTACTCGAGTTTTTACCATAGCCATAGGATTTTTTGTGAGACTTACTTCCTTATGCAAGTTCCTACTTTATTTAAGAATAACGTGTTCTCAGAATCAGTGCTAACGAGTCGACTTCCTCAACCTCTACATGATGCCAAATCTATTTGAATATTTACACACTTAAGGGGGAGTGTCATAAACTTCTTATTTAAATGTGATTGTGTAAATCCCAGATTAGATTTGATTGTAGTTATACTTCTTTATTAGGGCTTGTATTCCTTGGAGGAGTAGGATTTCTTCTCTCTCTTATTACTATAAATAAAGGCACTACGTAGGGGGAATAACACATCCTCTACACAATCCTACAAACACATCTCTCTCTCTATATATATTTTCTCTGTGCCGTCGGCCCCCCTTCCCTTATCAGTTAAATATAGGCCACAACATATCTTATATATTTTTTAATATATATGATCTCATTAATTAAGGTAGAACTAGATCTGCTATTATTTTTCTTAATTTTTAGAGAAAACTGACGTAATGATCGTTGAACTTTGAGTCAATTAGAGCTTTGGCCCTAAATTAAAAATAGGTCCCTAAATAGCATTAATCTATTTTAATTAACACTGTTAGAAATTTCATCCAAAGTAGAGAGTTTACAGGGGTAAAAAATGAATGGAAATTTTAACGAAATTAGCCCAAAGGACTATTGCATCACATTATAATAAGTTCAAGGACCAGCTTATGGATTTTTAGTTTAGAGATCAAAGCTCCAATTAAGCTAAAATTCAGGGACAATGACTCTAATTATATCTCATTTTTAATATATGGTATTAAGCTTAACTCTCAAAGATGACTTGACACACCCCGACCTAGATTCCATAGGCACCAAAATCGAGGCGTGCTGGACATCACATGTAGCCATGAGACGCATGAAAATATAACTAATGATAACAAATAAAATTTACCAAAAATTTGGCAAAACTTCCCTTAAAATACAGATAAGCCTAAATTAAAATACCTGTAGGGAAATCACATTTATATCAACACATCACCTAAGGGCCCCACTTAATGCGTCTCTGACCCTCAATTACAAATACAATAATAGTTCAGAGCACAGTTGTCTAATACCAGTTTATGGGTAAAGCTGAGTAGATATCCTACTCAATAAGGATGTGTCATTGCTTGAAAGGATGCCTTGATGTCAAAGATGCTCACGTTAACTACTATTGATTCCAATAGACACTGAGAACTAATCGTTACATATATACTAAGTTGTTACTTACCAATGGCATGCTATACAATATCATCCACTAGCCACAACTAGCGGAAATTGAATAATATAAGCATGTCATATTGTTGAGTAATCTCGAGACAAATGACAAGCTGGAAGGACATATCTACAATGTGGACAAGCTGAAAATACTCATACATGTGCAAGTTGCGTCCTACGGCCGAGAACGTGATACAATATTCTAAATGTATAAACATGCCATTACTAAGAAAACTCTGAAGTGATGACAAACTAAAAATATAAATGTAGTACCCCAATACACATGTAAGCTGAAAATATAACCATATACTAGCAATAGCTAGTGTAAGGTGGAAGGACATGTCCATAATATGGACAAGCTGAAAATATAACCATACATGTGAAAGTTGTGTCTTATGGCTGTGAACGTGGTACAATGCTCTAAGTTTGTACGGTTGTATGCGTGCCGCAAGATAAGTAGTAACAAATCCAACGTTCACAAAATCATCATCGTCATATATCATAAGCCATAAATCGTAACTCATAAATCCGGTAAAATTTGTACCAAGATTGAATCATAAAAATCTCACATCCCAAACTCGGAGACATGATACACTCATAAATCCGGTAAGATTCGTTTTATTTATTTAATTTTTTTTTTCAATGATGAATCATTTTCTGCAAACACAAAATATTTCACCTTTATTTTTCAAAGAATTAGGCTAGCCATGACAAGAAAATCTATGAGAATGGAAAATATAAAGCTTATTACCTCGAAGTTTAGTCAAGCGATACCGACATCCGTGCCGGAGGGGTGAATTCTCAAATGATGGAGGATTGCTCTAGTTGGGTGATTGGAGTCTACTTCTAATTTTACTAATCTTTATAATATATATTTAATTTTTATGTAATTATGAAATCTTTAAAAGGTAACATAACTCTAAAATCATAATTAAAAATCTTACCACATGTTAAATTTTGATTGAGTCGTAGTGTCATTAGGCATTGTCCAATGTCACGTTAAGCCCCATATAAGTTTTTCTCCTTGATGGACGCGTTGCCCCTAACTGTCAACTCCCTTTGAAACTAGGTTTGAATTAATTACGCAACAGGAGTATTTTGGTGAACTATTGCTTCAAATTTTATAGATTTATTTCATTAATGAATGATTTTGAGAACTTGGTTAACTTTCATTCATTGAATTCTCATATTTAAACTAAGCAGGATTATACTTGACTTTGAGGGACTAAAAAATCAAATTGTCCTTTTGGGTCTGATTTGGGACTAGATGGATAGTTCTCAATCGCACGAGTGCGTAAGTGATCTTGAGTTATAACAAAGAAATCAGAGGAGTTTTAAGTTGAGTACTTTGGTAAATTGGAAAAATGCCTTAATACATCAAGTCGTCGCCTTTTATTTGCATGGTACATGAGATCATGACATGATGAATTTGTATCAACAATCACTGTTTTTGAGTATGTGTACATCATGTAGCAACGTGGTACATGAGATCATGACCTTGTAAATATTTATCATGTGATCACTACTTTCGAGGTCGATTGGTGTTGTAGTTTGACCCCCTCTTCTAGTCAGCAGAGTTATAAAGTCATAAGAGGTGATCATGCTTGATTAATCTGCAATAAGAAGGATTTGGTGTTGGTCATGTGGATACACGACCCATAAGTTTGTACGTATGAGAAAAACTGTGTCGCTCCAACCCTAGCACTTATAAATATAAAACAGATGATTAAATACATGTGTGGGTGAAAAGAGAGTTCAATTAGATAGTGTGAGAATATTGTAATGGTTTTAACAATGAGAACCATACTGCTAGAACCAGTCATATATTATATGGTTTGTCCAACCAAAAGGATGATGATGAAGCATCTTTCATGTTCTCAATGGTGTTGAAAATTTGAAATTTCGACACAATCATGCTCTATTACTTTCCTCATTGGGTTTATTCTTGAGCAATGAAAAGGAGCTGAAGGGCAAGTGATGCCATCCCAGCTAATCATATCATTTTCTTAATTAACCTTAAACCCATATTAAGCACACGATTAATCAGAACCACATCATTTTAGAGTTAAAATCCATTAAAAAAAAAATTAATTTTAAGCATCTTTCTTTATCAAAGGCATCCATGCTTTAATGATTAATCCATAGCCAATGAAACCAGATAGCACAAATCGTCGTGTATATTCTTTTAGCATTTTTCTTGACATAAAACGCTAACCCTTGACAAAAAATATTACAAAATTTATTCAGTTAAATTTGTTCACTAAATGACGTGTCATATATGTATCAATACATATTGGTTGTAGGACAATACGTTCCTACTTCCCAATAAGGAGGAAATTCCGCATTCCGTTTCTATTGTGACATCATTTAATTATACAAATGTCATAATTAATTTTCATTAATTTTTTCATCATCTGAAAATCGCTTGTAGATAAATTTCATAATTATCGTCATCATTATCCTTAGCTATAATAAAAATTAAACCAGCCTCAGATTTGAGTCAGTTAAAAACTATGACGTGATTTGATAAATACAATTTGGATACTCCATTTTCAAAGTCACATGAAAATTTAATATAGAATTTTTGTTTACATAATCTGAATATATAATACTGCATACTTAAATAGATAATGGGGGACAAAAAGTTGACAACATTGAAACCAAAACATGAATGGCCACGTATTGACGTCCTTGGTAGTTGGTACCATGTAAGCAGAATAAAAACTGTTTTAATCAGATTTTAAAAATAATTAAAAAAAAAATTGTAATTCTTTAGAGATGGTGGCTTTTGCAGAATCAAGACCTAAACTGCCATAATCAATGTTCTTAATCAACCAAGCTATCAGTCTTTTTTTGATATGATCGTCTTTGATTATGCTTTAAAGAACTGATTCCATGTTACAAAGTTACAAAGATCTTAGCTTAAGAAATAATTAGTTATAGAAGATTCGCAGATCCTTAAATTTTCTTCTATATTTGTGAAGGTTAATTTCTCTTCCCCTCGATGCGCCATTCATCTAGCTTTCTTGTTGTCCAAGATTCTTAATTAGGGGGCACATTGCTCTCATTGGTGTGTCCACAAGGGGCCAAAGTTGACCTAATTTGAAGCACATATTCTGTCTGAATTTAGTGAGGGACAAGTGACATTCAGTTCAAGCCAAAAATGACCCGAAGCGTCTAAAGAGGTTCCTCTTTTTATAAACAGAAAGAACTTCAAGGCATCCCGAAGATACGGTTTTGGGATTCTCACTGACTTGCTTTTGGATTCTTTTCGACAAACACGATCATCCACCAAAAATGAATAAAAATAGAACAACTTAGATATCCAACTGCGATCGAATAAAGATCCTCATATTATCATTCGTTTGAGCATTAGTTTATTAGCCGAATCTGATTCGCAAGGTGTTGTCGGCCTTGGCAGGCAGTTCAAGAAGAAGGTCTTGAGCATCTGCTGCTAAAAGAGTTGTCATAAACCTATGATATGTTGATACACTAACATTACCAACAGTCCAGAAAGCAGAAACATAGAAGAAAGCAATATTTGGTGATCCACGTGAGGAAAAACATGGTTCAACATTAGAGATTATCGAACATTCTCCTGTTCGGAGATTATGGTGAAACAAAGGCAGACCATAACATTTGTACAATTCCAATTATGCAAACACAAGAAGCCAGAAACATTGAACTCACCCGTGCATAACAAAGCATTATGGGACGACATAACAATGGCATCCCCATTTCTAATCGTCCATGTTCTTCATGTATACCTTTGAAAGTTTGGTTTCCATTATCAACTGCTGTTCTTTGATCAGAGAATAACCTGATTCAAGTAAAGCCTCCATTGTTTGCTGCACAAGGGAGAGGCAAACCCACTCAATGCGTTAATCCTACTAGAGAAATTTTATTCCAACCAAATGAGTTACGAGACGCATAAAAATGCTTCAAATATGTTGCATAGTTTTCTAAAACCAGACAAGGTAGATCATTAAATGCCTATTTATTTTATAAAACAACAGAAATTTGTTGCACTATACTTCAATCTATTTACATTTTGCATCTGAGATGGCGAAAGTATAACCAGTTCACTGATGGATGTACAAAACGAACAATCATATCAATCAAACTTTTCAACGTTTTAATAGGATGCAGGTTTGGAAAGCAAACATCGGTTAAAGTTGATAATACTACCTCTGGAGGAGTAAACACAGGAAGGCTGTCATTTTTCCTTCCCTTTATAAGTTTGTTTCCCAGACTTTCAACACCTCCGATATCATCAACCCACTAGGAGGAAAATGAAATTAGTTAAGACAATAAATGCATATAAATAATTTGAAAATTTTACAAGAAATGAAATGACTTCTAGTATCAGAAAATGTTGAGAAACAAGCAAATCCAGACCAATTTTAAATCAGAACAGGAAGATTTGAGCTGTTAGAACTCTCATTGTTAAGTTTATATTGGCAACATCTTTGGAAGCCTAAAATTCCTGGGAAGCTTATCAATTTTATGTGGAGAGCTGTGAAGACTTGAGAGTAAACTTGTGGATGCAGCTCTGTATAAGGTGTACCTAAGAGGGGAAACTTGTGTTCACTAATTTCTTGTTTGCACATGAGATATGGACTAAGGCTTTCTTTGATGTTTTTGCCACTTAATGGTGATGCTCCTTCTCTTATTAGTGTTTGTCTAGCTGCCAACATCTTGTGGGTTGTGTGGAGGTGAAAAGAACATGGTGATGCATGAAGGACATTCACGACCAGCCCAGGTAATTTATCAACATGGAGCAGACTTGTGGGAGTTCCAGACAGCAAATAGGAGATCCGTTGGGGTGGGGATGCATCACCTATAAGGGTCCTGGGAGGCACTGCCAAGGGGATGGTTTAAGCTGAACATAGATGGGATTGTTGATCCTAGTTTGGGTCTTTGTGGTGTTGGTGTTGTAGTTTGTATGCACAAGGTTAGTTGATGGGTGCTTTGGTAGCCAACTGCTAATGTGTCTATCCTTGTGACTGAATTGCATGCTCTTTATGCTGGCATTCTTTCCGCTACAAATGCATCCTTCCTTTCATTGATTGTGAAACGGATTCTTTGAGTGTGGCTAATTTTGTCATTCTGCTGATGAGTGTTGGTTGGTGGAGGGAATCTGGCAGAAGATACTACGCTTGTCTTGGCTAAATTGCTGGTTATTTCAGTAACTTTCAAGCCAAGAGAGAGTAATATGGTCGCTGGTCGTTTTGGCTCACTTTGCTCTCTATGAGCAAGGGGTCCACATTTGTTGATGAATTGTTTTGCTAATGAATTTCCTGTAATTTTTCTCCTATTTAATTCTGTGGAAGTTTTCCTTTTAAAAGCAAAAAAAATAGTTAATAGTTTATCTACAGATAGCATTTGCCTTTCAGAGTTATTGTATGACAGATAATTACGATCCAAATGAAATATGAAATTCTGTTTCTTATAATTATTGTGCTAATTAGTGGCTCATCATTTTAGTCCCTCAAATCTTTGACAGTAAAGGTTACAACATGATTTATCCTGTTTAAGTTTTTGAGATTCCGTTTGTTGGCTATTCATCAACTAGTTAGGCAGGAAGACTTCGAGAAGCTGGAGCATTAAAAACTATAAATGATCCTCAGCAGGTTAGGCATTAGATATGAAGACTCAGCAACAATTTAGGCATTATTTATCCTACGGAGATCATGTCAATCCTCCACAGTAATTAAAATGAGCACTATGATATCCTATACCCAAATGCCAATGGGTAAAACTATGGATTCAATTGCTTAATGACAGATACACTATGAATCTTTGCATTTGACATGGTAACTTGTTGCAATGGTCTAACAAATTTCAAATCGGGAATGTCATATACCTTAGAAATTGACCGGTCATATGTTCGAGACCTTAGAGCTCCATAGAAATCTAGCGCTGCCCAATCATCAAAAGAAGAAGAATAAGAATAGTACAATAGTAACCACGACGATAATAATACTAACAACAACAGCAATAATAACAATAACAATAACAATAATAAAAATAAGAACAAGAAATAAAGTAGAATGCAGAAGTCTTCAAATTTGATCAACAGCCTTTGGTGAATCCATGACATCCAGAAATTGAAATTCCATTTGTTTGCTCAAAAGAAATTTAAAGGCATTGATTTCGTGATTAGATAGAAGACGATAACAGAGGGATACCTTGATTAGGAAATGTGTCCACTATCCTTACAACTTCATCCCTAGACATGCCATCTTTCCCATACATTCTGTGAACAATATTAATAATGTCCTCGTGGTTAGGCTGCCTGTTTCAGATAAATATCAAACAAAGGTCACATGGATCTGTTACATATCGTGGAGAAAAGGAAAGGAAATATCAAACATACAATAGCATTTGACACATAACACAATAATAAATGATACAATGTGGTCAATTGGAAAAGAATTTAATTAAGAATAACACTACAACAAATCAATTTCAGAATATCAAGAACTATATTTGGTTTACATTAATTTCTAACAATAATTTAGCACAGTAATTTTGGAAAATTAGTCAAATGTTTACAGAAAGAAAGCCCAGTGCATTTGACAGAGTCACGAACAGGCAAAAAAGGGCAAGAAAAGGTGTCTGAAATGGATACGAGGCATGTCATTCACTATCTTGTCGTGATTTATTGCCCATCATGAGGAAGAAATCACTTCACTGGGAAACGCATGTTAAAGGCATCCATCTGCCTACAAACATGGATGAGAAGGTAACGGATTTTCTTGACCAAATTGATTGAATTTTCAATGTGAAAGGTCCCAATGTATATTTTGATTTTTATTCTAACAACGATTCGCACTGATACGAGGAAAATCAATAAGAAATTTTGCATGCCATCATGAATGGTTAAGGCACAAATCTCCAAATCAACTTCTCCTTTTCGTGTGCAAGTTTGAAGATAGAAATTGGATATATTTAAAACACTTCATAACAAACATCAAGTTTTCATCCAACGCAGGGGAGCTAGATGTCATAGCAAATTGATTTATCCATGCAAATCACCAATTAAAAGCTCTTAATCCTTTGTTAAAAATCACAAACCAGCAAAATGAAAATGAAAGTTCATTAAACAATCACATACCAGTAAAACTTTTCCATCCTTCCATCACGGATTAAGGGAGCATATATTTTTGACAAATCATTTCCAGTAACAATGATAGGAACTCTGTTTGTAATATCTGAATCTCGCCAGTCTTGTCCAATACTAACTCTTGTAGGATTATCACAAAGATTCATCAATGTTCCGACAACAATTTGATTGTTGACTGTCATTTGAGTGTTGCCTAGAAAAAAAATAGACAATAACACATCACTGAAAGTGAAACATGAATGAAAACTAAAAGGTCAATTCAATCATTCCTACACCAATGACTAATGTTGGGAATGTATAACTAACACCATACATAACTGATTTTTCCCAACAAAAGAAAATTACAAGAAAAAGTTGGCACTATCATATTTATGTTCCTAATGCTTTCCTTTCTCTCGTTGTAAGTTATTGAATTTCTGGTCTAAATTAAACAGTTCTCACCAAATCTACCAAGGCCAGCATCAATGTCATTGATCATCAAGCAGCTCATCTTGCCCTGCAATAGCCAAGAAAAATTAAAAATCCATAGAAATGTAAAGACAGTATGAAACAAATGATGTCCAACAATGAAGCATAATTAGCACGATCCAAACATGTATAGACTGTAATAAACAACTATTTTGTTGTGTTGTCATCTGTAAATAAAATTAACAGTTCCAAGAAGACAATAAAATTAACAGTTCCATACAACAGCCTCCATCTTCAATTTATGGTCAAAGATCTGATGGAGAACAGCCCCCATCTTCTAGCTGAACAGATCCTCTCAATTACTTTTCAAATGGATTTTAAGAGGTGATACTTAGAATCGTAGCCCTTGAAGAACGATTCCAGCTTAAAAGCAGCAGAGTTGACACAGTGTGCATGTGGCGACAAATTAGAATGGCAGTTCTTTGCTTCATGTGCAAACAGAGGCTCAAATGAGTTAGGGTTGAGGATTAGAGATCAGGAAGTACCAAAGAGTGACAGCTTTCGCTACCTAGGATCTATCTTGCAAAAGAACGGAGAGTTGGATGGAGACCTCAACCATAGAATACAAGCTGGATGGATGAAGTGGAAGAGTGCATCCGGCATGTTGTGTGACCGTCGTATGCCACTGAAGCTCAAGGGAAAATTTTATAGGACAGCAATAAGGCCAGCAATGCTTTATGGCACGGAATATTGGGCGGTGAAGCATCAACACATACATAAAATGGGTGTAGCGAAGATGAGAATGCTTCATTGGCTGTGTGGGCACACGAGAAAGGATAAGATTAGGAAGGAGGATATCCGAGGTAAAGTAAGAGTAGCTGAAATTGAAGGAAATATGAGAGAAAATCAGTTACGGTGGTTTGGGCATGTGAAACAAAGGCCTATTGACGCTCCGGTTAGTTGATGCGATTACAGGATAAAGGTTCAAGGTCGAAGGGGTAGAGGAAGACCTAGGAAGACTTTGGAAGAGACTATAAGAAAAGACTTAAAGTACTTGGATCTAACGGAAGACGTGACACATAACCGAGCGCAATGGCGTTCTAAGATTCATATAGCCGACCCCACTTAGTGGGAAAAGGCTCTGTTGTTGTTGTAGTTCTTTGCTTCATGTCGCAATTCTAAATTTCTCTATATGGTGTAACTTATCCCTAGTTTTTCATATAGCCGACCCCACTTAGTGGGAAAAGGCTTTGTTGTTGTTGTAGTTCTTTGCTTCATGTCCCAATTCTAAATTTCTCTATATGGTGTAACTTATCCCTAGTTTTCCAGTTTGCATTATCAATGTCCTTCTATCTACTAACCCTTCAAACACTGTCATGATTGCATAGAATTTCATCCCTAGCATTGAGGAGAAAAAGGACAAAACATAAAGCACCTAAAAAACTTCTTCGTAGATTTTCACAAATATATCAAAACTCTGCAACCTCGCTCAGTTTCTGGCGACTTGGTAGTCTTAAATACCCTTCCGCAATGCCTTGTCAGTATACTTTAAAGTCTAAAACATAAATTTCATCTTAAAACTTAGCTCGCTAAATTAATCCTGTAGGCGTAATCACCGATTTTCAAGATGGTTCCGCATATTATGCATGGAGTGTCTAAAAGAGACTTAAAGAAGCTTTGTCGGACACATATGCATCAATGTATGACATACACCAGGAGAAGAGAAAAATTGAATGCGCTAGTCTTTGAGTTAATCTTTTAATGCAGCATCTACTTTCTTATAGAAAGAATACGAAGGTATTACTACTACCCGCAAAACAATTCTTTGGCAGGCCTATTGTCCAGAGGATTTGGAAGATAAAAGGAACTGATTCTGCTCGTGCTTTCTTTCATACTTTGGGAGAGCGCATCTCCCTCCCTCCCTCTGTCTTAACTATTCTAAAGAAGTCAGGTAATTTTCGCAGACCCAATTCAATAACAGAGAAAAAAATATAGAATCATAAACCAAAGAAATATTGCATGAAAATTATCAAAAAGCACTATTTAACTTCACAACCCAAGACATACATATGGATAAACTTGCATGGCAACGTCAAACAGCACTATTTAACTGCATAATCCCAGACATACATATATTAACAGTGAAAGTAGTAGAGCTTCTAACTTGGTTCTGGACCACTTGAGAAGCTGTTCTATAGCGTTCCCGTATCAATTTTCCCGGTTCTCCTGCAGTGGAACTTGTGATTATATAAAGCCTGATTCTACAAGAAATTATAAACAGGGTAACAAATCTTCCATTATCCTTGCAGTATGCCAGCTCAATTACTTGTTTCAGATCAGTAGAAGGAGTTCCCAAAGAAATGAACAAATTCAATTGAAGATATGTATTGTGGGAAATTCTACAATCAGAAAACAGCAAAAATTTTAGGAAGTAACTTTATAATCGTAGAAAGTTACCTGCTCTTTCTGATTCCAATTCCCCGGCGGACATAATTACAGGTTCAACTCCCATGGCTTGGAATATAAGTTCAGTCTGAAATGATTTTCCTTGCCCTTTTCCTCCCCAAATACCTATATGATAAAATGCTAAATTTTCAGAGGACATATCCTGTTAATGTGTCACCCCGAAAGACTAAACTCATTATCACTCATTCAGAAGATATTAAAAAAGTAGGTTAGGACTTAGGAGATAGAGAAGTTTTAAAGTAAGATTCTAAAAGTAACCACATACAAAAAGTTGGACGACCAGTTTTACAAAAGGAATGAATGTGACTTTTCAATATGTAGTAATTTGTCAAAACATCTTAAGAATCAGATTGATAACTCCAAGAAGAGAAAAAAAAATGAAACATGATCGAGTAATCTTAGCATGAACCAAAAAGCTTTATGAAAACTATCAACAAAAGTTCAACAAGAACCTGCAAAGAATAGCCGGTAAAGATTATAGTTACTGTATATACCTAGGATTAATGGAACTTTAGTATTTAGAAGAGGAGCAAGGTAGTTCTTCGCAATATGGCATACTGCATTGGGAAAAACAACACACGCACATAAGATTACAACAAATAACTATAGCCTCGTGTCTTTGATGAGCTGCACAAAACATGAAAGTTTCCAATGGTAAAAAAAGAAATTTTCAATTACAGATTCCATAAGGAAACACAAATCATGAGAATAAAAATCCTGATAACTAGACCCCTGAGGGAAAGCATTAAGTGTAAATGAAGAAACTGGAGGTATCTGGTACAGGCTCTTATAGTGTAAACATAGCTATTAATATTAAAAATATTCCACTCAAAATTTGTGACAAAGACATGCACAATGAACCGTTATTGCACAAGGTGTGGTGGTGGATGGACAAATTAATCTTATTAGAAAATTTTAATATAACCTTCCTTTCATCTTAGCTACTAATAACATATGCGAAAAGACAAGGATTTTGATTCGGCCCTAAGCAAACTGATCAAATACCAGATAAACTTTTATTTTTGTTCAAATTTGCAAAACAAATGTCCAAACACATAGCATGGCCACCAAAATGACTGCAAACAAGTATTGGAAAAACCATGTGAGGAAGGTGACAAAAGTACAGCGATTTTTACCAAGCTTTTGTACTGCTCTGACCTGAATCATGACATTTTTATTTTAATCTTTTGCCCAGTTTCATAGAACTTACCAACTTTATCCTGTGAAACAGAAAGGCAACAAAAAAGAAACATAAAATCACTGACCAGAAATTGTCAGATTAAATTCATAAGAGTTAAGACATAAAAATTAAGCAAAAACATCAATGGATATGTTCTAACTTGACAAACCCATAATGAAAAATCATCAAAATTCCCACCAATCGCGCATTCAATCATAAGTAATGGCATTAATTCCAACAGAATCAATGCAGTTAATCATTGGATTAGCATCTTAAAATCCGTTGAATCAGAAATTAATCAATTTCACAAGAATTGAATCACGAGATAATTGGAGCAATAGTCCTTAACTTTAGTTCAATTGGAGCTTTGGTCCTGAACTAAAAATTCGTGAGTATTAGTACTTTTGGCTAAGTCCGGAAGAACTATCCATATTTTGCCCCTTTAAACCGTTTAGTTTGGATGGAAGCTTTAAAGGACCATTGCTCCAATTTCTATTGAATCAAATACAAACCAAATAATCAGAAACAAGCAAAACATGATCATACCATGAACAGAGGTGCAATATAATAATCGCCTTGAAGGTACTGGAAGGACCGGGTGACCTTCTGCCGATAATCAAACACGATATCGGAGTCTCGGCCGAGAAACTTTCCGACGAAGAGGTCGTCGACGAGGCCGGCCCGGGCACCGACGGCGATGTTCATGTTATCAGCCTCTTTGCCCAACCTGTACAAGTAGTCGTTTCCCTCGGAGTCCTTGGCCTCCCACGAGGACTGGTCAGAAAGCCGCTTCTTGTTGGGCCCGCCGCTGCCGTCGCTGATGGTGTCATTGGTGTCGGTCTGAGGGTCTGGGACGGAAGAGGGGGTTGTGGAGCAGCAGAGAGAGGAAATGGGGAATGGGGTTTTGGTGGTGGGAGGAAATGGGAGGGAGAAGATTGGGGATTTGGAGAGAAATGGGTAGCAGCTGCAGAGAATCATGGCTTTGAGGATTTGTGGGCTTTGAATTTTTGCGTGCTTTATGCCTTTGAGAGTTGGGGTCTGAGTGTGTGATGGTTTGGCGCCACAAATTAACGCAACCATATCCTCTGGTGTGGACTGTCGGGAGGGAATTTGGTAATATCCAACTTTAAGGTTGCGAGAATAAATTCGTTTCAAACTCTCGTTGAATGTTATATTATTAGAATTTAAGACCATTTGTGTTGGTATATTTATTACAGTATAATATTAAATGATAATTTTTTTATTTCTAGGATGCTAAGGAGATTTTTTCAAAATGTGATTATGTATGAACTAATTTTATAATGTTGATACAATATTTTATAATGTTAGCACGATAAATGTTGGCGATGAGTCCATTGAGAGTTTCACATAGTCTTCTTAGCATTTCTCTATTTATTTTGTTATTTTTATAGGATTTTTATCACAAATGATTCTTGAAATTGACCATCACCATTAAGATAGTCCTTGAAATTGAAAATCAATTAATGTAATCCCTGAAAATAGGTGTCACAAATCAATGTAGTCATTTCGTTACAATTATGTTAAAAATTCTATTAAGTGCTGATGTGGCACATAAATGGGTCTCATAAGTTTTTTTTTTTTTCTCACAAATGGTCCTTAAAATTGACCTAGGACATCAAAATGGTCCTTGACATTGACCCGCGACATCAAAATGATCCCTAAAATTGAAAATTGATCAATGTAGTCCCGCAAGTAAGTCTCAAATGAAATGTAGTCATTCCATCATAATTCTGTCAAAAATTTTGTTATGTGCTAATGTGAAACATAAATGGGTCACACAAGTCTAATTAAATTAAAAAAAATTACAAATAGGCTTAATAATTTAATAGTTAATAAAAAAATTGTCAACCAAAAAACCCAATCTTGCAATCACCTTCAATCACAATCCATATTTCTCTATCCTTCACTCTCTATTCTCTAAAAAAGAAAATACAAATACACGCATCTTTACACACTTGGACACGCTTCACCGAATTGAACTTAGATCGAGATTACCTTTGGTGATGGCTTCGCCCATTGGCACGACTTCTGGGACATCATCGTTAATATTTAGGCGGTCAATATCCTCACAACCTTAATCTTGAAGAGCTTATTCGGCGCTTTCCTGGTGGTCTGGTGATGTAAAGAACGATGAGGACTGCCTTGAGATAATGATGTTATAACCAAGGTACGTCTATTGTTGGTTGAAAAATATTTCCACACCCCCTCTTAGGCCTTAGTTAAACCTTGTGCCCTTGAGAATTTATGGAAGGGATATCTCTTCGGAATAGGTCCTACTATAAGAAAAAAAAATTCCATTGTGCAAAAGGGTATTTAGACAACTTTTTTAATTAATTATTAAACCCATATCAGCACATAACAAATTTTTTTTTTTATATAGAATAGTGGCAGATGGATCATATTAATATGCGAAACCTATTTTTAAGGACTACATTGATTGATTTTCAATTTCAGAGACCGTATTGATGATGTGGGTCAATTTCAGGGACTATTTGTGATAAAACCCCGTAAATCTCATGGTGACCATTTATGTGCCACATCAGTACTTAACAGAATTTTTAACAGAATTGTGATGGAAGGATCATTTATAATAAAAACCCTTTTTTATAATTTGAACATGTTTGTTAGGCATCTATCGAAAGTAAGGCATCCATGCTATTTCAAATTACGGTGTAGTGATATTCGTCTTTATTTGTAAGTGAGATGACTTAGATTCGATTTTCGCTAAAGGCGAATTTGAACCACATTATTGCTAGTCCATTATAAGGCTAAACCCATTATCTCCTCTTAAGGTAGATAATATTGTTTGTTTAAAGAAAAAGTGGATATCCATATTTTAGTATCTAGTGGTTGAAAGTTAAAGATTTTTTTTTTTTTTGAATGCCCAGAAACCCATATTATAAAAGGCCTACAGAGAGGCAAAAACCAATACAAGAAACAAGCAGTGACAAGGGGAAACCCACAAGGACCCCTCCACCAAGTAGAGGCGTCACCCCCAGCACCACCACACCCAACTTAATGAGGACAAGGAAGTTCGTCATTATTCAACACAAAGACCAACGAAGATGGGGGCCTATCAACCCACACAACATCACACATCTCCGTAAAACCAAACGACGCAATCTCGTGAGCCACGCCATTAGCATTTCTAGGCACCCAAGACCAGCGGCAATCAAGGAAATTTCTCCCTAACTGCTTGACCCGGGCCAGCACAGGGAAAGCCTCCCAACTTCCCTTGGACAACGAGCTAGAGAGACAAGAAATCGCCTCAAGGGAGTCCGATTCTAGAATGACGTACCTTACACCCAAGTCTGCACCGAGTTGGCACCCATGCAGCAGCGCAGAAGCCTCCGCAGCAACAGCAGAAGGAGCTTTTAAAGCATACCGCGCTGCAGCCACAAACTTGCTCTCCATGTCCCGCACAATCACTCCGACAAAGCCCATCTTTGAGGCCTTGGACCAGCTCGCATCCACATTAATCTTCACAAAAGGAAAGGTCGGAGCACAAACTTTAATAATAAGATTTGAGAGATACAGATAATGTAACAAAGTAAAAAGGAAAAGATGAAAATGAAATATAGCTTCAAGTGTTTTTTCCTCCTTAAGAAATGGTAATTTGATAAGCATGGGTTCAAGTGGAGATGTAACAAAGTAAAAAGGAACAGATGAAAATGAACTATTGACCTGAAAAAGAAAATACCTCATTTGGGGCTTAATGCCTAGGTGGTCTAGGTACCCTTTCTTAATTTTCAAACGCTTAAGGATTAATCGAGACAATGGCTAGCCACCTAGCACCTAAGCGAGGTCTAGGCGGGGACTTTTAAAACAGTGTACAAAATACATCCACCGGCGCATGCACTCATATTTAAAAAATAGACACGTACATATCAGTAAATATTTTCTTCTTCCTCTAGCTGATCCATAGTTGGAAAGGAAAAGAATGCAGAATAGCTGCATACACAAGTAGTGATTACAGCTTCCCATTGTGTGATACAATCCTCAGTATGGCGTCCGCCGATGAGTGAGGCGCATCACTGATTCACTATGCTCATTCTTGATACAGTATATTCATCTGATGCAGTGCACGCATTGTGACTGTAGATTTGGCTTTCCATTTTAATTAGCTTCTGCGAATTAAGTTTCAAGGAGCTGGATTCTTGAGTTCTCGTCGGACAAGTTGGATGATCATATAAGGTTCCAGTAGATATTGACTTGGAGGACTACTTACGAGTATTAGACCCTTGTTTTTTTATTTATTTAATTTCTGCATCAAGATTTTAGGTTTAATTACTTGGGACAAAAGTAATACAGTTCATTCAATAAGAGATAAAAAGTTGTACCTACTCGAGTATTATAGAGAATCTAACGAAATTAAGCGTGTGTAGTGTATCTCTCATTACATGTCACGTGATAAAAGATACTTAAATAAGGGGATATATCCCTATTGTACCCAAGAATCCCTTCGAAGTACCCCAATTCTGTTAAATTCTTGGGGCAGACCAAATCCATAATCTTGGAGTTTGTTTTTGTGATCATACTTTATAATCTTCCTTTAATTAGCTCAATTAAACTCTGAACTGAGAGAAAAAATGATCCAAGAAACCAAAGAAACAGAGGATTGAAAACTTCATACGAATCAAACGAAACCACAATAACGCAGTTATGCAGCCAAATCAAATTCTATGAAATTATAGTAAAATACAACCTCAATAGAACACCAATAGACCATGAAGAGGTTGCGACTGGGATTTCGAAATACTCATTTCTGATCCTTACCACTGTTTCCCAATCATTAGCAGAGACTCTTCTTCTTATTCTTCAGATGACATCGAAGGGTAGTCTTTTTCTTTCAACTCCTCGGATTTTCTTGGCATTTTCTCAGATATCTTTTTATTTGGCCCTCTTTCCGGGAAAGTTTTCAAGATGGGGTTTTGTGAAACTTGATCAAAGATGTAACCCAACTTTGAAAGAAGAAAACAAAAGAAAAGAGAAAGCTCTGTAACCCAACTTTGAAAGAAGAAAACAAATGAAAAGAGAAAGCTCCATAACATTAATAAGGGAATTCAAAGCAATGTTACACATCACACAACCTCAAATATCTAGGAGGCAAATCTACTAGCAAAAGTCCGTTTGTATTGCTGGACTTTTGATGATTCTGTAAATAAATAAAAGTTCTAGCATCATAAAACATGTAACACGCCTTCAATCCGAGTGCCTTCCGCAACTTAATCTCACTGGCAACCACCATGAGTACTTGTCCATTCTGCTCCACATCCATAGCAGAACTGGAATTGGCACCTGCAGATACAATATACAGTAAATACAACTCCCACCAAGTAATCTATCTAGAATCTTTAAACCTTACATTAACCACAATTACATGAAGTTTTTCAATATCATCAGTCAAAACTAGTTAGCTGTTTAACCCATTAAACTTATTCCATTACTAAACGCATTCCATCATCTATTACGTCTTAAGGATAAAAGTACTCCTGTGTTAGAATTTGCATCAAACCGAAAACTAATTGGCAATTTGTGGAGACGACTAAGATTTTTAAAACTACTAATGCAAGGCTTCCATTTCAGATGTAGAGTACTATACTATCGGCATTCCTCATCATTTGTGGAGTCACTCAAACCAAACATAAGAAAACGTGTCGCCACCAAGTTTAACTCGTGGCTAATCTGCTCTGATACTATTATATCGTGTTAGATAATACTCTCAACAAGAGAAACCAGAATTGTGATGATAAATAGAATTATTGATGAAATTTTTATGCCAGTTAGAAATAAAATGCCTTAAATAAGTAACAACCGTCTATGCCTAATATACTTGTGCAGGTAATACCAAATTAAGCAAACTGACCTGCAAGTAATATGCAAACAACCTTCAGTCTTCTCCACATAATATTTGCATCTAGGGCACCGCTTCCACTTATTCTCCTTTGCAAGTTCCTTAACCATAAGATCCGCCCTCTCTCGCTCGTCCTCGTTAAGCCTCCGATACTCCTCACAATCAACTCCTGGATGCCAAGGGACTTGACATCGTGCACAGAACAGTCTATGGCAAATGGGACACTCGGACTCTCTT